TGAACAAATAGTAACACAGATAAAAGTGTCCAAACGGAAAAACATCAACAAAGATAGAAATGTAAACAACAGTAAACAGTACCAAAGATGGAAAGGTAAACATAAACAAACAGTAACACAGATAGAAGTGTAGGCATGAAGAAACATAACCTATGATGTTCCTTTCACTCTCCATGAATTCCCGGGGAGCAGGAGAGAGATTGGGAAAGATAGAAGGGTGAACAAGAGTAGAGACTAACAAAGAGACAAACAGTAACTAGGATGTCCCCCTATGAGGGTCCGGCAGCATTTCCTCAGCTTTGTTCAACTCTATCCCCTCGCTCTCCATAAACTCCTAGAGGATGCGGAGATGAAGGATGAGATAGATGGAAGGATAAACATGAACAAATAGTAACACAGATAGAAGTGTCCAAACGGAAAAACATCAACAAAGATAGAAATGTAAACAACAGTAAACAGTACCAAAGATAGAAGGGTAAACATAAACAAACAGTAACAAAGATAGAAGTGTAGACATGAAGAAACATAAACTACGATGTTCCCTTCACTCTCCATGAATTCCCGGGGAGCAGGAGAGAGATTGGGAAAGATAGAAGGGTGAACAAGAGTAGAGACTAACAAAGAGACAAACAGTAACTAGGATGTCCCCCTATGAGGGACCGGCGGCATCTCCTCAGCTGAGTTCAACTCTATCCCCTCATTCTCCATAAACTCCTGGAGGCAGGAGAGGACAGGGTGAACAAGAGTAGAGACTAACAAACAGAAAAACAGTAAAACAGTTTCCGCACAGCAAAATATTTCTATCCTCGAAAAAAATCCGAAACTAAACTCTCATCTGTAACGTGTTTTGTTTGACGGGGACTTATGCTCCACTGGGAGTGAAGAGGATAAGTAAGTAAAAACTAAATTCTCCTCTAAACATGAAATTCTCCACTAGAGATGTAATCCCGAGGGGCAGGAACAAACCGGGCGATGCTTTATCGCACACCCCAGGCGGTGCTAGCGTCACACAACGCCATTCCCTCCACAAGGCCATTATAAAAATATTGTTTGTTTGCCCTCACCCGACCAGCCCGCCAAAAGGGGCCCGACTGAAAAAATGTTATTGATCTTTCCCATTCTTTTTGTTTTACAAATTGTATTACTGTACATTATATAAATCTGTAGGCAATACATTATATGTACCAAGCAAAACAAACATTCAACATAAAAGGTATCTTCACACAAGCACACCCGAGCATGTAGACACCATGCTGACTTTCTAAAAAGACCCCCCTAAAAAAAGCCTACCTACCTAGTACCTACCCAAACTTTTCAGCCTGGGTCGGGTGAGGGCAAACAAATATTTTTTTAATTGTGGCCCTATCGCACACGCCTGGCGGTGCTAGCGTCACACAACACCATACCCTCCACAAATATCTCGCCACGCCTCGCTCCACGTCTTCGAGACGATGTCTCACCTTTGTCCACGTGTCACAGTCTACGATGCGGAACACGATTCCGTAGAACTGAACGCTGATGCCGAGGTTGAGATGCTTCCAGTGCCAGTGGTCGCCGCCGCCGTCTCCCCTCGGCAACCGCTGCCTCTTCATCAGCTTCCCCTGCAAGGTCAAGGTCAGGGTTCAAGGTCAAAGGTCGGGGGGGGGTCAAGGTCAATGGTTCGAAGTTCTAGGACAAGGGTTGAGTTATGGTTAATGGTTCGGAGGTCAAGGTGCGGGGGGTTGAAAGCCAAGGGTAGGGGTCAAGGTTAATGGTTCCAGGTTCAAAATCAATGGTTAGGGGTTCATTGTCAAGGGTCTGATTCAAGGTCGTCGTTAGACCCGATCTTTGGGTCGTGGCGGAATGCTGTGTTACATTCATATTTATATAATTTGTATTTGTATTTACGCTTTTATTATTATTACGTGTTACTCCCTCCTGGTATTATATATGTGAGATTGTGAGTGCATGCATACTTGTTAATAACAGCTAACTAAGGTATTCCACTGTTCTCATTAGCATTCTAATTAGTACTTTGTAATTAATAACAGCTACCTGAGTTTTTCTACTGTTCACAGTAGCATTCAGTTACCTGAGGTATTCCACTGCTCTCATTAGCATTCTAATTAATATTTTGTAATTAATAATGGTCACCTGAGGTATTCCGCTGTTCTCATTAGCATTCCAATTAATATTTTGTAATTAATAATGGTCACCTGAGGTTTTCCGCTGTTCTCATTAGCATTCTAATTAATATTTTGTAATTAATAATGGTCACCTGAGGTATTCCACTGTTCTCATTAGCATTCTAATTAATATTTTGTAATTAATAATGGTCACCTGAGGTTTTCCGCTGTTCTCATTAGCATTCCAATTAATATTTTGTAATTAATAATGGTCACCTGAGGTATTCCACTGTTCGGTACTTGGGGTTCTACCACGGAGATGCTGTCGTCTTCTAGGTAGTAGTAGATGTACACGGGTCGCGTGCGCACCGACTCCAACGCCGACTCATCAACGGTTTGCGAGAAATACGCGTTGAACTTCAACACCTGCAAGTAACGGGAAGTTCTTTTGTTTTTGGCTACCGACACTTTTGTGCTTTATTTTTGCTGCTGGGGTTTTTATGAGCAAAGCTCGAGGAACGCTGTCACCGCTTGTAATTTAATTATGTGACGGAAGGCAATTGGAAAACGTGATTCATGCTTAGAAATTTCAGATTACAAACATTTATTTTGGGTTATTACTCACTCAATACTGCATATTGTAAATATATATATATAAGAATATGTACGAGTCATAATATTTGTAAGGAAAAAACTTTGATATTCGATAACTACTGCTACCCTTGTTTCTTCTTCTGTGAGCAATACCTGACATTTATATGCAATGACTTCAATCCTTGTAGATTACTCTAGTATGTATACACACCTACTTGATGATAAATACGCAATAAAAGCTAGTACGCTTCAAACCTTTTTGTCAAATGCGATGTAAGCAGGGACAGCTGTAGAAGGCTGGAACACTTTAGTGTCACCGTACATGAGGGTCGGTGGAATAGCCGTCACCGGTTTCATCTGCTGTTGTTCTGGTTCTTTCTCTGCCAGCTGTGTTGTTGGGTGTGGCTCACCACCAATGCCTGCCATTGGTGTTTTCTGTACCGAATAGCCATTGCTATATCCAAGAGTGTGACTTCTGTGAAATTTCGACTTCTGAAAAATACCAATATTAATTCATTTATGGCACTAAGGTCTAAGCTTGGTAAAGGTAGCCTGCCGTCAATATTATTGAATCATTATCAAAACACAACTGACTATATATATGCATAAATATTCTTAGCCAGTATTGAAACTATACTCTGGTATTGGTACTAAATAATAATAATTCTCTCAGTTACAACACTAGGCATTAGGGCAGCCCCGTCATTAGTACTAGTAGGCCTAGTAGTACTAGTAGTATTGGTACTACTACTACTACTACTACTACTAGCAAAAGTTGTGGCATTATTACTATATATTAAGCCATATTGGCATATACTCGACGAACAAGGCCGTACGCAGGAAATTTTCTGTAGGGGGGCAAAGGTACTCCCCATGCCCCCTGTGCCCTAACGTTTCCCAATTTCACATTTATTGATTCTTATAATTCTAATATTCTTGATTATGAGTGATTATAAGTTGATTATAATAACTTGAATATAATTGACTAAAATTCTTGATTCTAATATTTCTTTGATGATTTAAGATAACCTTTTGTCACATTTCTATTTTATTTCTAAAAGTGTACAGTATTTGTCCCATTAAAAGGCATACTCTAAAAATCTCTAGTGGGGCAACTGCCCCTGCTGCCCCCATGCTGCGTACGGCCATGTCGACGAATCCTATTCCACTGTGGTAAACCACGTTTGTATAGACATGAAGGTTGTAAGTACTAGCATAGGCCTTATATGTGCAAGTAGCGTTTCAAGCGTAACATGATTTGTTTACAAATAAAACTTGCAACTCCAGCCCCTAGGGCCACAGGCATTTGGAGCGTTTCAATAAAATATAATGCTAAATAAATACGAAATCTATTTACTACCAAAGTCTTAATGTTTCTATACTCTCTTTCACCTATTATTGCCGACAATTTTCTGCAAATGCCGTCCAAATGCTCATCTGTAACAAACGCTAGCTGCCGCCATGGCTGCCGCTGCACACTGACACATAAATATATAGCAGGTAGGAAAGCGTGCTGCCAAAATTCGCTGGACGCTCGCTTGATTTCACACGAATACAACACAAATATTCAACCATTCTACTCCATCTTTGTTTCTATTTGAAGAACAGTGTTCACTTGTTATAAAAACATACTGTCTGTGTTCGTAACCGAGCTGTGTCATGCAAAATCACACAAAGCCTGACGAAATTCTCGCGTTCGCTCCCGTTGCGCAGTTTATGTAAATGGCTGTCGGAATCAGGAAACACCCACCGGCGCTCTTCGTGACCTCATTTTTGCGCCGCAACGCTGCAACGCTCCACTGGCGGCTTTGACGAGGCTCGTACGGGAGTTGGAAAGCAGCGTGGTAGTTTCCCAAAATGCAGTGCGCCGCCTATAGCCCTGTAATGCGCCTATAGTTCTGTGCGCAGCAGTGAAAAAAATACACGGGGGCTCGGGGCGATTTAGCCCCCGAAATGTCAAAAAGAGCCCCGGAAATGCTAAAAAGCGCCCCCGTAAATTTGCATAGAGTTCAATGTAAACCAAATTTTAGAGTGCTATTTTCATGCACGCGAGCTTGAAAAGTAGCCCCCAAAAAATAGCTTTTAATTTTTTCCCTGGTGCGCAGCCTGTAGCCCTGTAGGATGATAAATGTTCACTTGTTCGAATTATAACTCTGCCCTTTGTTCTTACCTAATCCCGCCAGAGATATCTTGTGAAATCTTGCAGGAAATGTTTTCTCCGTGAAAATGTAGAGGACGAGATGTCTGTTTATACACGAGTAATGGGGCGCATTGCATGCCGGGATGAGCTGCTGCCTGCCTCCGAGCTCCATTTCGAGGCCCGCCAAGCCAAACATCCTCTTTACATTTTCACGGAGAGAACATTTCCTGCAGGATTTCACGAGATATCTCTGGCGGGAGTAGGTAAGAACAAAGGCCAGCGTTATAATTCGAACAATTCGAGCATTTGACCGGCATTTACAGGTGATTATAGACAAAATAGAGTAGAGAAACATTAAGACTTTGGTAGTAAATACATTTCGTGTTTACATTTTTTTTTATTGAGACATTCCAAGTCAAGTCAAGTGCATGTGTCTGTGATGGCGGCAGCCAGCGTTTGTTACAGATAAGCATTTGGACGGCATTTGCAGGAAATTGTCGGCAATAATAGGTGAAAGAGAGTATAGAAACATTAAGACTTTGGTAGTACCCGAGTAAATAGATTTCGTATTTATTTAGCATTATATTTTATTGAAACGCAGTCCAAGTGAACTTCTGTGCCTAAGCCCTAAGGCTAAGCCTAAGGCTAAGGCCAGGCCTAGAAGAAGTAGAAGTAGAACGCCGCAGTCGGATCGTAGGACTATTTAGAAAACTACGTGCATAATGATACTATATTATAAGTAAAGATTGTACCGTCGGATCTCTGAAAGTGTTTCCAGGAAGGAATGGTAAGCCTTCCATTCTGATTTCCACAGCTCAGTCTACGACCGGCAGTGTTGACTTCACGGAAAACAACACGTCGCTTCCCGTTGCTCTGACGCGTTGCCAGGTGTTTGTGTGATTGCATGGTGCTGCCCTCCCTCGGCTGAAAATTGTACTCTGGTCCACAAATCTGAAAGCATCCAGCTAAATCGGAAATACTTATCAAGAGGACATTATAAACATGTTATACTTAGCATAGTGATATATTTATTGTAGGATATCCAAGTACAACAGGGCAATAGTCCAGGAAATTTTACAAGGGTGCATAATTTTGTAACCCAGCCGAGTATACTGCTGAGTATCTTCAATAAATCAACCAAATGCATGATGGCAAATTAATCATTCAGGTATTTTTTTAATGATCAGGCCGACACTCTGTGAACAACGGGTGCCCATTTGAGGGTGTCATATTCAAGGAGATTGGGAACAAATATCACGTATACAATATCAACAAATATCAAATAAACAACATCGAAACTTCCACGTTGAGAATGTGCAAAAAGTACTGAATGTTGGAAGACAAATTTAGAAGGCACAAGAACGTTTGATAGGCAAATACAGAAGAATCGAAATTAGAATCCATTTATGATGCGATGCGATACATATCCCAATTTGTTTCAGTATTGAAGTGAATGAACTTCGGGTTTAACATTCCTAATTCAAACTTAATTTATTATTTTAATTTATTTATTTATTGCCATAGTGATAAACATTTATTATT